ACAAAGTCAGACAGCGTTACTATACTTACACATATGATTATTTAATGAATGTCTAGATTTAATTATGTTACAAGTAAAACCATTATTTTAAAGACAATCTTACTGTCCATAGTATTTTAACAAATCTATTGTTTCGCTTTCACAAATAAAACCCTTATTTCAACGAGACAACTAATATTACATATATATAATCCATTATTTGAATAAGGCAGTTATTAAAACCAATAATTCATTTTTATCATCCTAAAAAGGACGCTTATTTAAATATCTAAATATCATGCAGTAATTTAAAACTTACACTTTCACAAGTTTGTCTTAATGCTATCCATATAACTAGTTACTAAGAGTAATGTTCCTATAATTGGAGGATGATGAGCTTCTTGTCTAAACGTGTCAACAATTACTAGATTCAATTACATGTAAAACTATTATTGATTTAGCATAATCAAATGTTCTCGAAACAATATTTTTAACACGTTTTGTTCGCTTAATTGAAGTAATGCTTTCGTTTCTTCGAAACAAAAATTATATTTCTGTATCTTTCATTTACACTTATTAGTTTCCAAATAAACATAAGGACCTTCAATTATAAATCAAGTGATTATTTCAAAGATTTTTGGTAACCTGAATTATCTTTTCACTTAAAAATTATACAATCCATTCATACAAAACTTCAGGTGCTGTAAGCATCATAGTTTATAAATGTATTGGATTAGCTTTCCTACAAATTATGTTCATTCCAATTCATCATATAAGATTTTATATAATTTTTAGACGATAGTGAACAATTCTTGTACTTTAAAAACAAAAAAAAATAGTGTTATATATTCCAGTCTGTAATGTTAAACGTTGTTAGGAATAACAAAAATTGTCAAGTGGCCACCTTTCTCTTAACGTGCGTGCACACACACACACACACACACACATGAATTTAGTTTATAAACACAAAACAACCATACTTTACAACAATCAGCTTAGAATAATTTCTCAACATGTTACATGTATGAGATTTCATTAAACAACGAATGGTAACACTCTAGTCTATAACAAACAATCTAGTTCTATTTGAATTTTCTCCTGTTATATTTTCAAAAGTAAAATATATTTTGAAACAGTGTCATGGTAACACATAAAAGTCAGTGCATTTAACTTGTATGACATACCTTTTTGGCTATTCCCAGAGCTGGTTATTGTTATTGTCACACATATACCATACTGCTGAAAAGTTTTTGTCACACCTAATGTTTTTATAAATATTGAACGATTTAACATACAGTTTATAGATTTTGTTCTATAACTTTTAAATTTTATATCCTGAAAAGGGCACTTTTTAACATACAAACTTACTATACACATATAATGCATGTTTCACTATTTTTAATTTTAACATTTAGTTAATAAACTCTGTAGTAAATCATTTTACCAGATAATAAATGTGTCTAATTTCCATCATAGAATAGCAACACTTACCTTTTTTTCATAAATCTTTGATAACAAATATAACTGAGCTTCTACATTAGAGATGTAACTTACATCACATACGTGTTCAAAACCATCATGTCAAGAAGGAAGTACAAGGTTGAATGTATGTGTGTTTTTTCTAACTGACATCATTAACATTGAAAGCAAACGATCACCAAATGACACTCAACCTTATTGGCTCACAGCTAACGGTATGTCGACCTTTTACTAAAAAGAGAGGGGCTGATAGAATTCAAAGTTTGGTTTGGTCATTAACATTGTTGATACTGAGACTGACGACCTACGTGTTTGATATTGAAGATTGCTGACCAGCTCGATAAACTTTGTTTTCAGACAATACGCCAGGCAGGACGTTAAGTTTAGAAAAGCTTTTGACCTTTAGTGTTAGCTAAAACAGAAAACTCTTTCATTTGAAAATAGAACACTCTGTCTGACTCACGGTTTTACTGAAAGAAGAGGGTGATCAATATGGCAGAAAAAACTTTTATTACAATAAAAGTTGAACAAGTCAATTATATACATTGTCGCTATGTATTTACATTATACTTAATACTGAAAATATATGGTTCAAACTATACATAATCATGTATTTTCTTCATAAATTTAATGTTCATCATACTTTAATCAAAACTTTTCTATGTTACTTAATTTAAAAAAATCAGTAAACATAGTTCTTTCGCTTTACATACTGATACAAAACACCAAATGTGTATTCACGATATTCTATTTCTCAAAATTTGACGAGACATTTCAATAAGCATACAATTCTTGTATACTTTTTACTCAATACTTCGCCCGACATGCAACAAACGGTCACAAGTTCAGACTGTGTCAGTCGGTCTAGAATATTTTTTCAAAATGAAAACTCAGTTATATTCTACTTTTAATATCTACTTAGACATTTGTTTGTTTTGAATTTCGCAACAAAGCGACACGAGGACTATCTGCGTTAGCCGTCCCTAATTTAGCACTGTAAGACTAGAGGGAAGGCAGCTAGTCATCACCACCCACCGCCAACTCTTGGGCTACTCCTTTACCATCGAATAGTGGGATTGACCATTACATTATAACGACCTCCACGTTGAAAGGGCGAGCATGTTTGGTGTGCTACTTAGACATTAACGTGTATAAGATATGAGATTTTATTATACAAAGGATGGTAACAGAGTTAGTTGTTTCTGGGCAGTGTTGATAATTTCGGTCACAAGTTCAGTCTACAACATGCGGTCAAATTTTTATTTTTAAATAGGAACAACCTTTTGATCACGTGTTATAATTGTTTATCGATGTTTCACTGTAAAATCCCAAACTCTAGATAAGACAGTTGTCACACATATTGAAACATTTACTCACAAACAAAGAAAAAACCTGACAGTTAAATATCACATCTATTGAAAATTCAAGATACACTACCAGTTTCTATTGATATGTTGATATGTACAATCATGGCTTCCTTCTTCTCAGGATGTGATGGTCCTGAAAAGGACCTTTAAATTTCATACATTTAAACAAAATCGTTTTCTTCGTTATGTTTATGTTTTATTTTACAACAACAACAACAAATATATATATATATATATATATATGTTACCATTTCATGTCTTTTTTGAAGATGTTAGTAAAATAACAAGAGTTTTGGATTACGAAAGGTTTGGAAATAAGATGTTGCCTAACATGAACATTCAGTCAATCGTTTAGTTTTACAGAGGGAAATCAGTATACTTTTTATAAAAAGAACACATTTCTACAGATACTCATTAATGCAGAGATTAATTTAAACATAGAGTTTTAGAGTCAGTGTAACATACATAGTTTTACAACCATATAATTTTACACTCAGAAACTATGTAGCTTTACTCTGATTAGACCATATTTCCTTACAGTCAGTGCTATAAGCTTTACAGTCAATAACCACCTATTTTTACACCTAGCGACCTTCATACCGTTTAAATTATCGACATCTGTACGTTTATCGTCAATAACCACGTCATTTTACACCAAGTAGCTATATAGTTTTACGCTTATTAGCTACCCTAGCTTTACACCTTGTAACCCACGTAGTTTTATACTCAATAACTCTCATAATTTTACACTTAATAGAATACACAGATTTACACTTAGTAATCAATGTAGCTTTATAGTCAATAACTATCTTAGCTTTACACTTTGTAACTTACACAGCTTTACATTTAGTAGCCCCCGTAGCTTCACACTCAATAACTCCTATAGCTTTACACTTAGTAACTTACACAGCTTTACATTTAGTAACCCTCGTAGCTTCACACTCAATAACTCTTATAGCTTTACACCTGATAACTTACACAGCTTTACATTTAGTAACCCTCGTAGCTTCACACTCAATAACTCTTATAGCTTTACACTTAGTAACTTACACAGCTTTACATTTAGTAACCCTCGTAGCTTCACACTCAATAACTCTTATAGCTTTACACTTGATAATTTACACAGCTTTACATTTAATTACCTCCGTAGCTTCACACTCAATAACTCTCATAGCTTTACACTTAGTTACCGATGTAGCTTTATACTAAATAACTCTCATAGCTTTACACTTAGTTACCCATGTAGCTTTATACTAAATAACTCCCATAGCTTTACATTTAATAACTTACACAGTTTTACGCTTAGTAACCCACTTAGCTTTACATCCAATAACATAGCTTTACAAATCGTTACTTACGCAACTTAATTTTTTACGTTTTTTTTTAAAACGTGTTCTGTTAGCTAGATATACAAGAATTCCACAGTTGAATATTTATTAGAAACATCAGTATATTTTTGTATCCGTATTGTTTCCAAATAAATAAAGTAGCGACTTAATCTAGAAATCTGTAGCAGTAGATTTATACTGTTCTTAAAACTTTTTAAAAACTAAACACATCTTTAAAAACAGACATAATGCCTCAAATAGCACTAGAGTAGGGCTATAATATCTTATTCGTTGGCCGTTTAGATTAATAAACGTGATTGTGTTTCCTAGTTCAATGCAAATATTTCAGTTTATCCTTGACGCTTATATATTTTTGTATAATCTTATAGATATCAAACGTGTTCAGCCATAAGAATGCTTGTAAAAATGTCATGCCTTCATTCCTTTCCTTACCAGAGCCCCCCAGTGGCACAGCGGTATGTCTGCGGACTTACAACGCTAGAAACCGGGTTTCGATACCCGTGGTGGGCAGAGCACAGATAGCCTATTGTGTAGCTTTGTGCGTAATTAAAAAAAAATCCTTACCAGATCTCCTTATAAAAAAATAATAATAAAATTATTGTATAGCTTATTCATTAACATAACAAATATTTTAAATTTTATCTTCATTTTTTTAACACTTGCCACAAGATGATGCTGAAATACATACTGTGTAGAAAAACAAACTTAAAATTTTAAGATAGTTCCGTTGTGACTCTAAGAAATATCTTATAAGCCTTTAACGTATGCTGTTGTACCAAAAAACAAAGTAACAAAAATACTGAAGTTTTAATATGTTTTGTCTCAGGTTGGTGAAATGACTCCTGCGGTGGACTTGAGTGACCTCAAGCGGCGCTATTGTGGGCGACTTCAACATTCCCTCTTTTTATCCTTGCTAATGATATGTTTGTTGTATGGAGTTGGCTTCATGGTTGTCACCCAAGTCGTTTATGATCACGTAAGTTTAACCTCCCACCCAATTTGGTATCACTGCATTATCATGCAAATTCTAGACACACACAGACATATATATATATATATATAATACGAGTTCTTGCATGAAATTGACTTTTGATGGCCGTTTATTTTTAAGTAAAACTATTGATGCATTTTGAACGACTGCTTTCTTCAGATGGGTGTTGTTTTTTAAATCGTTAATTAGTGTTTAAAACTTTTAATTAAGACTAGCATCGGTTTATGTGTAGATAAAAACCAAGAAGCACACAGAAACCATTATTTTAACTCATTATGATACTTTAATATTCACTTCTTTATTCATTTTAACTTTTCTTATGCACTTTCTTCCGCTTTCTCCTGTTGTTAATTAAGCAGTTTGAATTTATATGAAAGAGGAGCTGCTAAAATTTGCATATTTGACTGAATAACATCAGTATTACCATACTTTTTATGTCATCAATATCTCACTAGGTTCTGTTTTTGTGTGTTATTGAAATTGTTGAAGTTTTCTTTCAACCTTATATGTTTATACCTTTTCCACCTTCTCTAACGCATTTGCCTATTCCTAATCCATGTTATGAACATTCCTGTAAAATTCTTCTTACTAATATTCTTATATCTTCAACAGAACTTTTGGGATGATTCTATTCGATACCTGACATTAATAACTACGCTAGGTGTCTTGTTGGTCATCTTTGTATTCCTACTTCCGATAGAAGGCGTTGCAGAGCATTTTCGTTGGCTGTTAGGGTTTTTGGTGTGGGCAGCAATGTTGGTGACGATCTCGGTGTGGTCATACGTCAGGCCCCTGCGGGGTAATACCGACAACCTTTTGCTTGTTTATCTAACAGTATTCTGTATGAACACCATGTTACCTTTGCCGAGACTACCAGCACTCATTATGTCACTTGTTACGGCGGTCTCCCAGGTGGCGCTGTCTGCAGTCTTTGCCAATTTTGAAACCGATCATCTAGGAAATCAGGTAAGTAGAAAATAAGTGTTCCTTTTATATCAATATATCTAATGTTAACCATCGAGAAACTGTAATATTTATAATTCTGTGTATCAAATATTTACAATTTCGTTTCACCAAGTAAACTTGCGTCTCTTTCAACTTAGAAATACGTACCACTGTTTTACATTTGAACACTAAAAATCGTTACACCGTTTATAAAATGCACAAAGTTTCAGACTAGATCACGCTGTGAAAGCTACTTATGATGGGATAACTTGAGAGTCAAAAAGGTCAAAGGTTAAACTTGTTCTAGAAGCCAAATTTTACAAACAAAAATATTTTAAACCTGTTTCAATAACAGATATATATATATATTAATTATCGAAACAAAGCAATCCTAACTTAATAATGAACAGCTAAAACACAATGCTTTAAATAGCCTAAGACAGGGCGTTTAGCAATTTATAGAAACAAACTTTTGAACATATGTTTGAAATTAATTCAACCTATTGTTAAATTAGTAATGTTTCTGCTTTTTATGAGTTTTAAATTGTAATACGAACATTAGAACTAAGTTCAACACCTAGTATATACTTATAAATTAAGTAATTTTTTCTAATCACTCACTGTACAAAGATTAAATTGAATGATCGTGTAAAAAAACTCTCACGTGTAACGAAGAATAAGATTACCCATGTAATTAATACCAAATATTTCCACAGTTGAACAAAAGGATTAGTAATGGAAATATTGGTAGGTGGGAAGACTCTACTGTGAGTATTTTAAGTATGATTTAGGAAATCTAAAAGCTTAAACTGCAGAACGCACTTATCGATGATAATACCGAGAAAAGAACAATTATATTATCTGGTGAAATTTAATGTGTAATAAATTAAAACTGATGTGACATTTTGGATGTCGTTCGTGCCCGTAAAGTTTTCTATAAACTAATATAGAAAATTATGAATTAACGTTTCATGTAAACTAATGAGCGAAAATTTCCCATAAATTACTGTACAAACTTTTGTAACGTCATTTCCTATAAAGGAAAAAAAAATATTCCACCGAAAGTGTAAGTAACAAACAAGACCACCAAACACTGTGTGTTTATAGATTTAAAAACCTTATGTAACGCTTAACTTCAGAACTACCGTGTAGAATTCCAAGTATTTCGTTTTACTACACAATTATTGTAACATATTTTATCATATGGCCAAGTGTAAGATTGTTTTTACGAAACGTATGTAAATCTCTTTCTCAGGAAGAATGCGTATATTCCTATTTTTCAGGAAACATATGTATATCCCCTTTTTCAGAAAGTATATGTATACCCCTTGTACTCTCCTATGAAGAATGCGTATATTCCTATTTTTCAGGAAACATATGTATATCCCCATTTTCAGAAAGTATATGTATACCCCTTGTACTCTCCTATGAAGAATGCGTATATACCTTTTTTTCAGGAAACATATGTATATCCCCATTTTCAGAAATTATATGTATACCCATTGTCCTCAGAAAACACACGCATACCTCTCTCCTTTGAAGAATGCGTATATACCTCTTGTCCCCAGGAAATGTATACATATCCCTTACTCAGAAAGAATATGTACACTTCCTCAAATGTACCATTTTTCTCTCGTTCTACAGCCAATTAATGAATCTGTAAAAACAAGAAAGTTAATTTCATGAATGCTGTGGTATTTTAAGGGTATAAATCTATACTATATATGTCTAAACTTGAATACAGCTTAAAACAAAAACCCTCTGTACTTTATGAAGTAAGGCTTGATTGAAAGGCTGGAAATAAGACAATTATAAGAAGAAAAAAATCTCATTATTTTCAGTGAATCACCAGAAAACATTTCTTTCTTGGTGTTCTGTATGTTTATCAGAAATGTTTTATTACAAATAATCAGCGTTTTCAACTGGTACTTTTTGTATTCAAACACGAAGTCTAATCGTATCACACACACTTTCAACAGGGCGGCAGATAATTGCTGAAAAGGTTCTTGTCTAAAAGTTTTGATAAGGTTTCAAATTACAAGAGCACGATTTCAATTACACTTATACCTGCTACCGTTGAATCTTCGACAGTATTAGTATTGTTAACCATATAACATGTCTCGTTTGTTACTTTTATAGATAGTCTGTCAACTACTTCAACTGATTACCTGAGAAAACCTGAAACTGAATAAAAAGCCTCGTCCGCCACGCTTCCTTCAGAAAGACATTATACCTGCTACCGTTGAATCTTCGACAGTATTAGTATTGTTAACCATATAACATGTCTCGTTTGTTACTTTTATAGATAGTCTGTCAACTACTTCAACTGATTACCTGAGAAAACCTGAAACTGAATAAAAAGCCTCGTCCGCCACGCTTCCTTCAGAAAGACATGAGTCTGTTTTGTTTTATTCTCGGATATACGAATAGGCTACGCAGGGCCTATCTGAGCTAGCCGTCCCGAATTTTGAATGGATAGATCAGACTAGTGGTTTCCAAACTATTTTGGTCTGAGGCTCCATTGATGTGAATTAAAAAGTTTGAGGCCCCCAAACCTATGAAAATGCTTTAAAATGTGATTTTAAAATGTCCCTCCCCCGCTACTTTAGCATGGTGATTGAAAAACAGTGCCGCAGTAAAAACAATAATATCTCCTTTAAATATATTGTATCATTTAATTAATTCAACATAATTTTTATCAGCTAATCGTTTATTTAAAATTAAAATTAATTCAGTATATCTGTTTTTATCCCATTTTGCCCCCCCCCCCAGAAAAAGCTTACGATTTATTTTAAAATTTTTGCAGCTACGGGACGCGAACACTGAACACGCACGGCCCAGTGTAATAAAAACACAAAAATATGAGTGTAATTTATTTCAACAGAAACTACAAGAATACTACAGAACGTGGATTAGTTGAGAACGAATGTTCAGATATTTAATGTTTCATCTCAATTATTTCTTTTTCAAAAAAGCTCATTATACCTCCCACAAATATGCATTGAGTGTGTGTTTTTCTTATAGCAAAGCCACATCCGGCTACCTTCTGTGTCTATCGAGGGGAATCGAACCCCTGACTTTAGCATTGTAAATCCGAAGACTTACCGCTGTCCCACCAGAGGACCTCTCATTGAGCAGAATACCTTCTCGGAAGTGACCCATAAAATAGATAAAATGCAGTTAGATTAGCACTATTATATTATATGTACATAAATATACGTATATTGTTCTATTTTTATTGTTAGCAGCTAGATGCAACGTCGAAAACTTTGTTTCGCATTTAATTATATGTAATGGTGTTTTATGTAATTTATTAAGCCTCACTAAGATTAAAGGTTTAGAGAAGTTATAGATTACAAACATCATTTACAGTGCAGTTTTACTCTAGCGTTTTCCTTTTGTTGTTTTCTTTTTACTATAAGTAGGTTAAAAGAATCTCACTATAAGTTTTGTTATATATGTATATTGTGCCTTAATATGGTAAATATGAAAATACACGACACTCCACATATGATTTTAATAGAGTCTGACACTGCTAAGGCTACCATCGCCTTAATATGGTAAATATGAAAATACCCGACACTCCACATATGATTTTAATAGAGTCTGACACTGCTAAGGCCTACCATGGCCTTAATATGGTAAATATGAAAATACCCGACACTCCACATATGATTTTAATAAAGCCTAACACTGCTAAGGCCTACCATCGCCTTAATATGGTAAATATGAAAATACCCAACACTCCACATATGATTTTAATAGAGCCTGACACTGCTAAGGCTACCATCGCCGCCAACTAATCTTCGAATATTTCCATCATTTAAACGTTCATCGCTGATCTCTGTTGATATTATATATTGTTTCCATTTGATCTAAGTATAAATAGGACTAGGGTTTATTTTTAGAGTAAGTAGAGCGGTATATTCATTCTTTTTTTCAATCTGGATAGAATTACGAATTAGAGTTAGGTTTTAGGCTATGTTTACGGTTAATATATTAATATATTGTTTTAGTTTTACTTACGTCTATACAGAGATTAGGGTTTAGGTTAGTTTTAATAAAAATATCCGAGTGAAAGCAAAAAAAAAAAGTATAATATTATGTTAACTACTCTGTGTTTGTTATGTCCACTGCCGACGAGTCCTTTCGTATAATATCAGGATTCTTCAAGTTTAAAGTCAATAGATTGGTAGATAATTTCCGTTTTACCTAAGCCTAGAAACGGTTAAGGTCAATAGCTCAGTATAATGATTCTGTTTTACTTAAATCTAGAAGGAATTAGGGTTTAGGTTAAATCTAGGGTCAGTATATATCAGTATATTGTTTCAGTTTTAGCTGAACATGGACTGAGATTAGGGTTTAGATTATTATCAAAACAACTGAGTGAAAACACTATTTCTGCTATATCCAATGCCGACTAGACCTTTCGCTCAATACAAGGTCTCTTCATGTTTAGGATCAACAGGTCGGTATCTTGTTTACGTCTTACCTAATTCAGGATAGTATCATGTTTCAGATTATGTTTAGGATCACTAGATCATTTGATTTACCTGCGTTTAGATAGGGCTGGGAGATTTAGCTTCAATAAATACGATGACATTTTTGACAATTAAAAGTCCATGGGAGAGTTTTCATTCTAGAAGTTGCCTCATTGAAACATGAAGGAAAGCTGAGTGCTAAAGTTAATTGAAAAAATGTCAAACTCTTATTCAGTATAAAGACGTGTGTTTATTTACAAACCACACCCAAACTGAGGAGGGTGACGATTTGTTTATGTACTGTTTTAAAAATCATGATTTGTTTGTTTGTTTCAAGTTAAGCACAAAGCTACACAAAGGGCTATCTGTGCTCTGTTCACCATGAGTATCGAAACCCTGTTTGTAGCATTGTAAGTCCGCAAACATACCGGTGTGCATTACTTATTTAACTCTCTTATTTAGTAACATGGATGGCTGGCAGAGAATATTTTATATAGGCCCAATTTATAGAAGAACAAAGTTCAAGTTGACATTGTGGGT